TTTATTTAGATTTTTTATTGTATGATATCACCCATCCTATGTTATGGTTCTGAAATATGGGGCACATCCTAGTGAAATACTTTTGAATCTGTCCATATTAAATTATGTAAATATGTTTTGAAACTTGAAAAATCCACCTGTAACAATATGGTCTTGGGTAGATGAGGAAGGGTGCCTTTACAGTTTATTTATACAACCAATGCTGTGAAATACTGGTGTAGACTTCTAAACTTTCCTGACTATAGATTACCAAAACAATGTTATTTTATGTTATTATCTTTAGACAGGATGGGACGAAAAAATATTCTTTTTCAATTTGGTTTAGGATTTGTTTGGACAAGCTAGCAAATTGGTGATCACAAAATATTTATTGAATCATTTAAACATAGATTACATGATGATTTATTCCAATCTTGGCAATCATCTTTGGATATCAGCCATAAATGTGTTTACTATAAGCAATTCGGATCTTTATTAAATGTAGAGAGCTACTTGATAAATAATGATATCCCTCAATATTTAAAAATTATATGTGCCCGATTTCGGTGTTGTAATTTTAAACTAGCAGTTGAAACTAGTAGATACATTATTGTTGTATATAATGAAAGGCATTGCCTGTTTTGCAAATTAAATGGTATCTTCGTTGTTGAAGATGAATGGCATCTGTTCTGTTCTGTTGTGTTCAATAGGTTATGTGATGTCCACAATGTATATGTGTGCAAACGTTAGTCCTTACTTTCACCTCAACATCATGATATATCTGTAATTTTCATTCTATGATTTTCTCGAGTTCCTGCAGAATAACAGCTTTCTGACATTTAGAAGCCTGAACATCGTTTGGGTTTTGGAAAGAAGGAGTTTTCCTTAGAAGTGAATTTGTTAGATGCACAAAAGTAATGTTTCAATCTGTTTCTCCAGCCAGATCACAATTAGTTGGGTGCAATTGTGTTTCCCCAATTCACCTACAAACTTCACGTCAAAATAGTTATGCGAATGTATTTAGCCCTACCGACTAAGCCCATATTTTATTATTCATGTTTTTATCTACTTTTCAAGTTCATGTCGCATATAGACTGACATTCCAGTATATTCTTGCATCACTCATCACAGAAAATGACTCATTCACCAAACATGAATTAATGTTTTGCTTACTGTAGCGTACGGACAGGGTCCTAGGCAATGTTTGGTTATTCCAAACTGGGAGTTAGTGATTAGGTGTCTCACTCTGAGAATTTGGGTTTGATTCCCTGGTGCGACTGAACCCCAATAATAAATTATGTACTGTACTGAGGAAGTATAACACCAATTATAGCATAAACTGTCACATCACTTTCAGAAATGTTTTGTGTATTGATCACTTTAAAACTGTTACACAACGTCGCCATTTCTCATGTGACTTGTGCTTGATTTCATTGCACTTTGATTAGATTCCCCAAGACTCTGCTTGAATTCATGTTTGATCTAATGATGATCACAACAGTAGATCTGCTTGAAAAGTGTGTGCCTCTTATTGACGCTCGAAAGGGACGAGACAAGGGAGAAAGGTTTCCATGAACATGTTTATGTTAAAAACACGTTGAGACTTTGGGATGCTGATAACCTGACATGTATTATTTAGTTAAACCATGCTAAGCCTATGTGCATGTTCCTCTTAGGATTTACAAAAATAAATCTGTGTAACAATTTAGGACATTTTCACTGAGGATGAATGTAGTTATGAACAATTCAAATTGACACATATATTGGAGCAAAGTGCAACGCATTTTCATAGAACGTAATACATTTCAAGATGACTAGAATAATTAAAAGTTTAATTTGAATCTGAAGGGTATCATGTTCACATGATAATACCCTATCATATTCACGAATGTACATGATTCTGTTCATGTAAGAACAAACTGTAGCGATCCCCCCTGGAAAATGTCAGCTTCTATCACTGTCCGATAATTAAAACGCACTTTGATGACTAAAAATGTTGAAATCCCAAACGTATTCGAAATTGTCTGGACTGAAAACGTCAAAGCACATTGATACAATATTCCGATAATCAAGACCACTTTATGTCTGCACTTGTTTAGGTTGGGCAATCTTATCAAATACGAATGAATATGTGATTGATTGCACAAAGCTAACAACACAGTGATCGACATATTTCTTCACGCAAAAGGTACGTTTTGATATATATAACGATTGTTACTCCTGTGCACCTGTTTGAAAAGTACGAGCCTCTTACAGATACCCGAGAGGGATAACTGAGTATTGACTCTATTAACTACATTCCACAGTTTCCACTTTTTATGTTCAAAACACGTTGAGAGCCTGGCATGTGTCATAACGCGTTAAATCATACTAAGCCTGTCTCCGTTTGGAATTTTCAAAAAATTGAAAGCACCTGATTTACACTTTAACACATTTTCACAGAGAATAAAAGTAGTTTTGTCTTATCTTCAGGCCCATTAACAATTCAGATAGCTTGGACTAAAGTACAATGTTTGTATGTAATGCAATGCAATGTAATGTAATGTAATGTAATATATTTCCAACAATTCAGTGTGACAGGAAATATTTGAACAGAGTACAATGTCTGTATATAATGCTGTGTAATATAATACATTTCCAGTGACCGGAATATTACATGGTTTGAATTAGAGCTGAAGGTTGTTATATTTAAATGATCGATTCTGTTGATGCATGCACATGCAGAAGGCAATAACATGTGTACACACTAGGAAGGGGGATTGTTATCAGCCGTTCAACATTTTAGTTGCCTAGCAACAAGCATGTATCATCATTATTTCATATTGATTCATACATACATGCTCAACCGTGATTTCGTATTATTGTGGAAAATCGTTATTAGTCAACATTGTGACAATTTTGATTGTAAAACTTTTAATATTAATGTCATTGCGGATAAAAATGACAAAAGGATATTTTCCAATTAAGTATGTTAATACATTTGACATAGGAATACAATCGATAACAGAGACCTGTCTAGTAAACAGTGACCACGAAATGAGTGAACGAGTTTTACGCCGCTTTTAGCAATATTCAAGCAATTTCACGTCTACGGCGTAACGAGCGAACGCTTTAACCAGTAGGATACCCTACCACCCCACAGTAACCACGGACGAAACAGTGACCTCTGATGGAAAACAAGACTGGAGATGTTTCATATTATAGCAGCTAATCAATACCCTCGCTGTGATTAGGTTTCAATGTTTAATGTGGTGTTCCAGCCCAAGAGGCCGTGTTCAATCGGGAAAGTCATTTGCATGAACTTTGAGATACATAACCGGAATTATTGCCAGGCTCCGGACCATAAAACGAACCTCCCACGATGTAATGATTAAGCTAAGACTACAACAGACAGAATGATTGACATGATAACGCTGATTAAAAGAACACTTTAATGCAGTAGCATTCCCTTAGGGTGGTAGTTTGATCAGGGAGACTTCTTTGACATAGTCTACAGGATAATTTGTAGCATCACTGAGTTTTTTAAACCTACCAGACGCAAGGAGGCGACCAACGGGATCGGGTAGTCAGGCTTGCTGACTTGGTTGACACATGCCATCGTATCCCAATTGCCTAGATCGATGCTCATGATGTTGATCGCTCGGATATGTGGTCCAGATTCGATTAATTACAGGCTGCCGCCTTATGGCTGGAATATTGCTGAGTGCGGCGTTAAGCAACCAAACAAACAAACAAACATCTCCAACTAAGAGCAACATCTTCCACCCGAGATGCATCCACATTCCGTGCCTTTACTGGGAACATTCATTACTCATTGTGTTTTAAAACGTTGCGCTAATTACATTCACTTGAGCAGTGACAACCATTGTGATCTTCTGTCCATGAAGGGGCGTCGGGGTAGCGTAGTGGTTAAAGCGTTGGCTCGTCACGCCGAAGATTCGATTCCCCACATGGGCACAATGTGTGAAGCCCATTTCTGGTGTCCCCCGCCGTGATATTGCTGGAAGATGGCTAAAAGCGGCGTAAAACCAAACTCAGTCAGTCAGTCAGTCAGGTCTGTCCATGAAACACTGTTTCTGAAGGATTGTAAGCGTTTGTTCAGTTATATACACACACTTTGACTTCCGTATACATGTGCACAATGGGGATGTTCATATATCAAGTGAGATTTGATTGTGATTAGGTCTAGCGTTCAGAAACAACGCCAGAGTATTGCAAATGTATAGCTCCACAATAGCAATACTCAAAACCTATTCATTACTTACCTTGTTTTCGGTAGTATATTAAACAGCTTTAGTATTAGTGCCATTACGACATCAGGTCCTAGATTTTCGAAGCTCTCTTAGTGCTAAGATAGTCCTGAGTGCCATACATTAACATTAACTTACGACTATCTTAGCGGTAAGAGAGCTTCAAAAATCTAGGCCCTGGAATGTCTTTAAATGTTTCATTACACAGATCATCTGAACATGGAGTTTATTCTATTTTACATATTACATACATTACTCATGGAAGGAGAAGGGACTGTATACTTACCTCCGAGTTTTGTGATCAGGTTATGCAAAGGAGTTCGAAGATCTATTGTTTTCAGGACTAACAACGGCAAATATTCAAGCAAAATCTTGAAGAACTTATTTGTCGGTGAATGAATTTTCACAAGGTAAGTTAATAGTGTGTGTATTTCTCTCCCGAACTTTGACAAAGCAGCGGCAACTACTGATTCGATGAATAGTCAACATGTTACAATAACTGTCTATGTGATAAACCATCTGTATATATGCATGGATATCAAACATTGTCAAACACACCTCTGAGTGAATAGGATTGTTTAATTTGGTGTTTACCAATTCCCTGACTTAGAGGTAGTGGTGTTCCATGGTGTGTCAGAGGGATTATATCTATCATAAATACTACATAGACCTGGAACATTATCATAAAAGAATTAGCAAACATTCTTACACATAAAGAATCTTACCTTTGTGTCTCAATGGGTCTTTTGACATCAATAATATCAAAACGAGTTAACAAAAATAGTTTTTATTCGCCATCCATTATTTGTAAACAGTGATAAGCAATGTCTACATTGTAACATCTTAAGCTGACCGGCATCAGTGGCAAAGATGTCATTTGATTGTGTCTTTGATATCAAATATGTCAAAACGTCATGGTAACCGATAATGCCACAATGTTCTGCAAGGCATTGCAATGACCTTTCCGAGTAGGCACATCTCCACTCTCCAGTCTTGGATAACAAAATATTACATACCAGTTAATATCGTTATGACAATATCGAATATAGTAACTCTCCTTGTCCGTCAAAGAAATTGAAAATAACGAAATAGCGGATTTTCCTAACCATATCCCAGGTGACTGCAAATCAACACCTCTGTAAACCGTACAACTAAGGACACGTGGAGTTTGTTATATATGGGGACTTTTAAAATCGAACAAGCATTTTCATGAATCAATCTTAAAATCAAGTTTCACAATAACGATTTACCAATCACAAGTTTCATAAAAGCGCCATGTCTGCAATCTTTACCGCAATGTTAAATTCAACTTAAATGAGTGAGTGAGTGAGTGAGTTTAGTTTTACGCAATATTCCAGCTGTATCACGGCGGGAGACACCAGAAATGGGGTTCACACATTGTACCCATGTGGGGAATCGAACCCGGGGGCGGACGCTTTAACTATGAGGCTACCCCATGGCCCCTCAAATTTAACGACCAATGGCGCTGGTTGTAACACCGTATCATGTGCCATTTGATTCCAACAATATAGTTAAGGTATCATTGTTACGATACTTTAGACGGCTCTGAGTTTACTTTGTTTGGATCCATTTCACGAACAAACTTGCGATACCTCCACCTTCTCTCAAGTAGACCTGCATAAAATATGACAGAACATAAACTTAGAACAGTTGCCATGACAAAACTCCACCTGAAGCATCCCTGTCCGTAGCAGTTCGTTTGTCCTTTGATAGGTATGGCGTTATCATAGATGGCACCGAACACTTTCTGAAGCAGCACTCCTCCGGCAGCATTCCCAATCATCATTGCACCCCAGTTCCTACCAAAATACTTAATTCCAAAGAATTCACTGGTCATGGTAGGTGTGAGACACCACGTCGCACCGTTAGGGATCCCTACTCCCAGAACCGCTATAAACAGAATAGGAAGACTATTGGCACTGTAAATACAGATGGCCAGAACCACAGTCTGGACAGCGGTCGCTGTTAAGATGACCAGTGCTCGTGGAACTTTATGCACAATCAGATCAGATCCGAACCCGAAGCTGATTTTGGCTATGGTTCCAGCGACAAAATTCAGAGTTGTTAATACTGTGCTGTACCCTTCCATATGGAAGGATTTTAGGTAAGTTGTAATGTTTGTTTGAAACATCAGTTGAAGACATGCGCACATCCAGAAGGACCAGGTCAGGAAATGAAAGTCGAAGTTGAACAGGAGCTTTCTTCCTGTTATATCTTGAGATATTTCCGGGTTGACTTTCTGAGGTTTCAGTTCATCAGGAATCTCCTCGCTGGATACCAGGGACTTTTTCTCCTCATCTTCAGGCAGGATGCGTGTGATGAGAAAGAAGATACCTAAAACATTAGCAGCAACGAAGAGCAACGCGTTGAGGAGGTAAAACCCAGACAGGTTTTGTTTATCCTCGTCATTGTGATCGTGGCCGTTGACGAAGAGCGTGCCGTAGATGAGCGCCACCAGGGCAGGTCCGCCGCTGAAGGAGGCGTCCAGGACACCGATGATTTTGCCTCGGTGTTTGGGACGGAAGTTGTTCACGTTGGCCATCATGGACACCATGTAGGTAAAGATGGCTCCCAGACCTATCGGTGGACAGAAAACAAAGTTGTCATATTATTGGGTTTTTTTGTTGCTGTTTATCTATGCAATTGGGATACGATGAGTTTACTTTGTTTGGATCCATTTCACGAACAAACTTGCGATACCTCCACCTTCTCTCAAGTAGACCTGCATAAAATATGACAGAACATAAACTTAGAACAGTTGCCATGACAAAACTCCACCTGAAGCATCCCTGTCCGTAGCAGTTCGTTTGTCCTTTGATAGGTACTGTAGGTACAGATGGCTCCCAGACCTATCGGTGGACAGAAAACAAAGTTGTCATATTATTGGTTTTTTTTGTTGCTGTTTATCTATGCAATTGGGATACGATGTCAACTAAATCAGCGAGTCTGACCACTCGATCCCGTTAGTCGCCTCTCTCGACCAGCATTGATTGCTGATCTTCACGGTTTGTCATATTAATGAATGAATCAGACAATATTCAGCTGAACCATTTTTGTTTGTTTTTCTGTGTGTTGTTTTACGCCGCAAAATTCCAGCTGTTAATTATCGGTCCGAGTGATAGGCATTACCACCATCGAAACATGAAATTAGGATACGATGACATGCAGTCAACCAAGTTCCGTTCACCGACCTCTTCCATAGGCAGCTGGGGTCGATGTCCTCACACGGTATCACAACGGGTGTCAGCTATATCAAACCTGCCTTTTAATGTACATCTCATCCACGACGAACAAGGGGCTCTCGCGACCTATCTCAAGCTGACTCCACACAGGATCAGAGGTATGTAACAGTTATGTAAACTATGCACATGTATGCGTTTTGGTCAGCATATTACTATATGACAGCAGTTTGAAAACATGCCTTTATCGGGCAGTCCAGTGAATGATGTGATGAACAGCGATCCACATTAGACAGGTTACGGAGATACGTGATCTACCAAGTCCCATAGTACATCGATGCTCTTGATGTTATCAACTGGATTGTCTCATCCAGATTGGATTATTCATCGAGCACCGTCATATAGCTGGAATATTACCATAACTACTACTGCTGCTGCTACTACTACTACTGCTGCTGCTACTGCTACTACTGCTGCTGCTACTACTGCTACTGCTACGGCTGCTGCTACTACTACTGCTACTGCTACGGCTGCTGCTGCTACTGCTACTACTGCTACTACTACTACTGCTACTACTGCTGCTGCTACTGCTGCTGCTGCTGCTGCTGCTGCTACTACTGCTACTGCTACGGCTGCTGCTGCTGCTACTACTACTGCTGCTACTACTGCTGCTGCTGCTACTGCTGCTGCTGCTGCTACTACTGCTGCTGCTGCTGCTGCTACTACTGCTGCTGCTGCTGCTGCTGCTGCTGCTGCTGCTGCTGCTACTGCTGCTGCTACGGCTGCTGCTGCTACTGCTGCTACTGCTGCTGCTGCTACTGCTACTGCTACTGCTGCTGCTGCTGCTGCTGCTGCTGCTACTGCTACTGCTACTGCTGCTACTGCTGCTGCTGCTGCTGCTGCTGCTGCTGCTACTACTGCTGCTGCTACTGCTGCTGCTGCTGCTGCTGCTGCTGCTGCTGCTACTACTACTGCTGCTGCTGCTGCTGCTGCTGCTGCTGCTACTGCTACTGCTGCTGCTACTACTGCTGCTGCTACTGCTGCTGCTGCTGCTGCTGCTGCTACTGCTGCTGCTGCTGCTACTGCTACTGCTGCTGCTACTGCTACTGCTGCTACTACTGCTACTGCTACTACTGCTACTGCTGCTGCTACTACTGCTGCTGCTGCTGCTGCTACTGCTACTGCTACTGCTGCTGCTGCTGCTGCTGCTGCTACTGCTACCACGCTACTACTGCTGCTGCTACTACTGCTACTGTTGCTACTGCTACTACTGCTGTTGCTATTACTACTACTACTGCTGCTACTGCTACTGCTGCTGCTACTACTACTACTACTGCTACTGTTACGGATGCTGCTACTGCTACCACTGCTGCTGCTACTACTGCAGCTGCTACTGCTACTACTGCTACTGCTACTGCTACTGCTACGGCTGCTGATACAGCTACCAGTGAAAATCCTGGTTAGAACTGATTATCAGCAACCCATACTTGTCGTAAGAGGCGACAAACGGGATCGGGTGGTCAGGCTAGCTGGCTTGGTTTTACACATCATGGTATCCCAAATGCGTAGACTGATGCACATGATGTCAATCAGTGGATTGTTTGGTCCTGACTCGATTACTTACAGACGACCGGCCACAACAAATACAAGTAGATACTTCTCCACTAGCAGTAGTATATACTGTAGACTTACCGAACAACAGAAAATAGATGTACTGCAGGTACGCCTTCCCTGCATAGAACGTCTTCTGCAGTGTGGTGCTGTACAACAAGAAGCCACCCAAGGAGGAGATCATGAGGGACGCGAACGCCGTCCGCCGGGCTCCAAGTTTCTCAAACATGATGCCAGCCGGGAAACCCAGGGAGGTTCCGATATTTCCCATCGAGGCGAGAAGCTCGACTGTAAAATAAGGTCAGCATGCATTACCACTGTGCACTACTAGACGGAAAGGGATTTCTTTACAGCCAAGGGCGGTGGGGTAGCCTTCGCTAGTCACGCCGAAGACCCGGGTTCGATTCCCTACATGTGTTGTATGTGTGGAGCCCATTTCTGGTGTCCCCCGCCGTGATATTGGTGACACATTGCTAAAAGCGGCGTAAAACCATACTCACTCACTCACTCTATTCATTCATTGAAATTGATATGAAAATGGCAAATTGGGATTATTTTTCGTCACTGAGACTATGAATTCAAAAGTTTGTGAGAGACTTCCTAAGCAATTGTTGATGTAATTGTTAAGGTGTGAGTGAGTGAGTTTAATTTAACGCCGCGTTTCGCAATATTCCAGCAATATCACGGCGGGATTGTTTGGGATTGCCTTTCTTGAGTTACCTTTGATTGCCAAGACGTGCTTTGCGGTACCCTATGATTGTCTGAGATTGCTTTGGATTGAACCTTGATTAATAGGCCAGTAGAAAATCCCTGTTTTTTTAGTTAACCTAGACATCTGCGATAACAAGCCAATTTGTTGACAAAAATGATTATCATGATCCTGTGTGTCTGTAATAATAACCCAATCAAAATCAACCTTGGGGAAATATGTTAAATTTCTCATTAAAAATTGTTACTTGAGCTCCGTGTGTATGTTTGACCTGTATGTAGTTGTTAGGCAACTAGTACCGTTTCCAGTCACAACAAAGATGTCAGCCCCAAGGTGCTACCTCACCACTCAAGGGCATTTAATGCCAATGTGATTTACAAAGGAAATGTCTTCAACTGAAAGCTGCATTAATTATAAACTGTGTGGACACATTTATTATATTACTGTTGGAGCCGTTTGAACATAAAACTTGCTTGTTATCGCAAATGTCCGGGTTCTTCGACAATTCTACTGGCCTATAACAATTGTTAGCCTGTGCGTGTGATGGATGCCACCAGTGTGACAGGAAACAAGCTCATCACGAGCACTGTCATCAGAATTTGTGACCCATTAACACATGATCAGGACATAGTCGGAATCGTAAAATCGACGCTGGTTGTGACGCTTGTATTTGGACGGCATTGGAGCCCTTTGATGTTAGTTGATGCACAAAGTTATAACTAGAATTTAGAAAATCGTCTTGATGATATTCCAGTTCCCAGTTTGAAAGTACTGGAATGAATTGGAAGGCCGGTTGTAGAATGTTGACTACTCGTAAATGGAGATTCGAATCCACAACCATAGGTTTCTGGTGTGCCAGTCCGCCGGACAATGGTGACGCTGATCCTCTTCCTACATAATTATAGCCTTTCATATTTGTCTTAGTCTTAAGAATACCTTATTAAGCAAAACAGTATATAGGTCCTGAGTTTGAAAATTGTTCCCTTTTCACATCATTGTAGATAAGGATAGAGCAAAGGTGAAATATGAAGACACCGTCTTTATCACAATAGAGGCTCGGTTTCTGTGTAGATTCGTAAAGGTAGCACAGAAATATCGTACGTACAAAACCCGGTTAGAATTAATATTGGTCTTCTGTAACCCATGCCTGACGGAAGAGGCGACTAACGGGATCGGTTGGTCATGCTTGCTGACTTGGTTGACACATGTCATTGTATCCCATTTGCATAGAGCGATGTTCTTGCTGTTGATCACTGGCTTGTCTGGTCCAGACTCCATTACTCCATTACTTACCACCGCCAAATAGGTGAAATATTGCTGAGTGTGGCGTTAAAGAAAAACAAACATACAAACGTCGCCTCAATAGCAGTTATTCCGAAGAGAATGCTGATTTTGAGAAAATTATCAACTAAAGATGGTAACATTATATGTCTGGGATACAAAGGCCTAAACGTGATAACGAATTGGATAGAATTTGGCTGGGGTCTTGCACTGATTAACGAATTGGATAAAATTTAGCTGAAGTCTTGCACTGATTAACGAATGGGATAGAATTTGGCTGAGGTCTTGCACTGATTAACGAATTGGATAGAATTTGGCTGAGGTCTTGCACTGATTAACGAATTGGATAGAATTTGGCTGAGGTCTTGCACTGATTAACGAATTGGATAGAATTTGGCTGAGGTCTTGCACTGATTAACGAATTGGACAGAATTTGGCTGAGGTCTTTCACTGATTAACGAATTGGATAGAATTTGGCTAAGGTCTTGCACTGATTAACAAATTGGACAGAATTTGGCTGAGGTCTTGCACTGATTAACGAATTGGACAGTTTTTCTTACTGCATGTTATAACCTGACTAAGTGGACAAAAGTTGACAGTTTGTGCTAGAAAATATTCTCTCCGCGTAGTAATTATGTTTCGACGAATGTTTCAATGCCAAAAGCCCCGAACAAAGTCGGTAAGCTCAAAACCAAATTCTCCTGACTAGCAGTAGAAAAATTGTTTTTTATCTTCGATAGATCGTGTCCTTGTCGATTACGTTAAATTACACTCATTGAAATGGTTTCCACTACGCTCAACGTAATCACGCAATTGCAGAATACAATGACAAGTAATTACATGTATATAATACATACTTTCGTGGTGTGTGAGGCCAGGAGAATACAGTACAACCAGAAATTATTGAGAATTTAAAGACTGTAATTTTTTTATTTCACTCATTACTCCCTTATCAAATGTGAATATTAGCAGAACATAACTCCAGATTCAAAGACAGGTGAACAGTTAGTATTTTGTCAAGTCACCATGGGCAGCAATGCAGGCTTCAATGCGGCGGGGCATACTACTGATCAAAGAAGTCGTGGTCCATGCTGTCCCAATATCGGACCACCTCTTCTTTCATTTCAGCAATATTTGTCAGATTTTTCTTATTGAGACTTTCATTCATAAGTCCCAAAACATTTTCTATTGGATTTAGGTCAGGGCTATAGCTTGGCCAATCTAATAATGTCATATTTTGGGTCCGAAACTAGGCCTGAACGATGTTTTGGGTCGTTGTCCTGCTGGAAAATCAAAAAATTTCCATAGAAAACGTGAGCAGATGGAAGTAAATGTCCCTCGAGAATATCTGTGTACCGCTCACTGTTCATATTCCCTTCAAATACACAGAGGGGCGTTGCCCCTAACACAGATATGCCACCCCACAGGTTAAATTTCGGACTGTAATTTGGGCGCTGATACAAAGTTTTAAGGTTTTTCAGTTTGTTTGATACAGAATTTCAGTGTATTAGGAAACAGCCACACAGAACTTTCATCTGAGAAAATCACATTGTCCCAGTTAAAATTTCTATGCTGTAAGCACCAGTTCAACCTTCGCTCCTTTTGTTCAGGTTTCATGATCGGTGATGGAATTCCTCGACTTTTCTGCCAACCCATTGCATGCAGCTCAGTTCTAATTATCTCCTTACAGACAACCACAGTTCCTCTATCAAACATATCCAGCCTTAAGTTTTCTAAACTCCTTCGTTTGTTTTTAGAAACAAGAATACCAAGCCGCCTCCTGTCACCGACAGTCAATTTACTGGGCCTACCTGCGCCTCCCTGGTGCTCAATGCCATATCCATTTGCAATATTTTTCAAAACACGATAAACAGTGGACAAAGGGATGTCTGTTCTACTTGAAATCACTTAAGCTGATCTGATGTCCTTGTTATAATACTCTAAAATCAACTTCCTCTTCTCTAAATCATCCATACTGAGGATCACTGAAAATGTCGTCTGCTAGCAAGTAAACAGAGGGGATAACTCTTCACAAACTAATGAAAAAGGATTAACGGAGTTGTCTCTCTTGAATGAAACCAAGCACTTGATAGCTGGTCAAGGTTGTATATACTAGAAATCCAATAAACATATTCCTAAAATTCTCAATAATTTCTGGTCATACTATACATCATTCTGTGGTAATTACACTTCCTGTTTTCACTGGATGTATTCATGATGGCAATGTTTTAAGTAAAAACACGTTGTATTATTTTAAGCATATCAGACATCTAAATCAAACCTATCAGACAAAGCAATTTATCCTAGCGGCACATGTGGTTAATGGTTGTGTGAGCACACAAATGCTAATTTCAAAAACAGTTAATAGAATACCAAAAAGAATTAAATCAATAACAGGCATTATGGCAAAACCTGAAACAATGTACAACAATGAGGTTACGTCATCCATGAATACGAACATCGAGGGCTGGGAATGTTATCTACAGTATCTGATATCGTGAACATGTATGATAATTACATATTTATAAAAACATATTTTAAAGCTACTAGGCGTGTTTATAGCATGAGTATCAGCCTCTGTAGCTATTCCGTGTTTTTAAACCACTGTTCCCTAATAGCTAATATATGTGTAAAATGTACAGATATAATTACAGTATATTTAACTTGAATGTTTCGAAAGGTTTGTTTTAGCATAAGATTGTTTAGATGATCTTTTATTATGTTGGACCGTTTTAGATCACCCTATGATGGCGAAGGAATAGCACAAATCGGTTTATCATTGGTACTGAGCGGGGGAGTGTGGTTTTACGCCCCTGTTAGCAATATTCCAGCAACATCACGGCGGGAACACCAGAAATGGGCTTCATACATGGCGGTGCGTGGTCCTGTGCGTAGAGCTCAGGTCACAATCAGTTGAAGTTAAGCAACGTTGGTCGCGGACAGTCCTCGGATGGGTGACCGTGTTTGGCAGCTTCAGTTTCTAGGACTTCAGTCCTGCCCCACAACGAATCACATGTGGCGCATGTGGTCTCACCTTAGGCAAGTGAGTTTGTTCAAAATTGCCTCTGTCCACCCAGCAGTAAAATTAGGTACCTGATATGATACGATGGTAGTCTGAAATTGAACCTTGAGCGCCTGACAGGCGACCGGTTGTATTCTCCACATGGAGTGTTCTGTACTCGTTGACCAGGGGTAATATGTCAGCGCTTTGAGGATGCAATGTGCATGGATAAACGCGCAATATAAATGGACTATTATTGTTATTATTATTGTTCTCATGTCTGGAATCGAACACGTGTATGAAGAGCGAATGCTTTAACCACAAAGGCTGCCCCAAGACAGAACCGGTTACTGTCTACAGCTAAATGAAGTGAGTCAAATGTACATTGTATCCTACTGTAGGCGATCTTGGACTTTCCTGATGACCGAGCAGGTCCAGGATTACTGTACGAATATAGGAAAAAAGATGAATACAATTAGTGAAGAGATTAATATCGCGGTTACATTTTACCTACCTTCTGATTGGGTGTAATTGAAGGTCTTCTTGATGGCATTGGCGTATGCATTGAAGGCGAACACCGACCCTGCCACGCCCATCCCGATACAGCCCACCACGAGGCCGATAATGCGGAGGACAGTATCCTTGCTTATACGTACCATTCTGAAACAGGTACTGTCAATTCGGTCCTCCTCTATCTCCAACGATGCGTTGATGCTGGTATCAATTTTGATGATTTAAGGTGAAACCAAATTTGAAAACATTATATTCTTGCACCGATAGAGGCGAAAAATGTTTTACCATGATCCAAAGACGGAACTCTCAGAAATTGATTCTGGAACACGTGAATTGCATAGTATGACTGTAGATGGCACAGTGTTACTGAACAACACGTAGTCACTGGAAAACACTCTAAGTCACAGTTGTAGGCAAACTCGTAGGCACAGTTGTAGGCAACTAGTTGACACAGTGGTAATCAGCCTTAAGGATCAATCCTTTAGCAGTGTACTCCCTAGGATATCAAGATGCAAGTCTATGATGTATCAGATCTTTGCGTTTCAAATTGCCTTACGACCGTATCTCTGTACGTAGCTCCCAGCTCCCTCAAGCTGTCACACCGCACTGTCACAGAGAGATGAACAAATCATACCGGTCACGTGTTCAGTCAACGTTTTCATACAGGTTAAGTTCTACTCTGATCAGCATTACAGTTAGTTCGGCCATAATCAGCTGTCGCTTGATATCTGATATCTCTGTGTCAGCTGATACGACATATGTGTCACCGACATTCTGACACTTCAGTGTAAGCGAACTCTGGACATTATCACTTTGTCACGTTTCTATTCGCGAGTGCAAGGTACAGGCATGTTACTCATCATTACACCTGACCTCTACTCTTTGACCCACTGACAGACCCACTCATCAGCTGTTTCATATTACATATATAATGCTGTATAATGATGAGATTGTATGTCTCGGGTATACATTAAAGTCGGTAGTACATGGCATCAGCCCGTCACTGTAGCATACACTGTCCTTATGAAGAATCCCGTGGGATAACAACACGGCTACAGGAACATACGCTGGTGGTCCGGGGTTGCCAAATGGATTGGTCAGCCTCGGTGACTTTCTATCACTGTTTTTCCATACCCGATTATTTTCCACTGTCATTCATCTGGAATATTTCTGAGCAGACAGAACAAACAAACGGGTAGAGGTATTATGAAGATTACACTCTCCCCTCAAGACATGAAATTATTCCTTTTTGAATCAATTATAATGGGTAGCATATAATTTGTCTGGCCACCTTATGATTCTTGGAATATGAAACAATATTGTTATTGACAGACAGTTATTACACACAGTTAACTCCCTTGTAACGACGATAATGAATGCACAGAGGAGTCCGCTTTGATCACCTAGAAATACAAGCCCAGTGTTCGGAGAGACCATTCCTCACAAGTGATATATTTGACAAGAACAGAAAGTCCCTGTCGCCGTGTTCGGCACGCATAGTTACTAGATATCAGCGTCGGCCAGTGTTATATGTGAATTAACGCATCACGTTTGTCCCCTCACCAGCGTGTGTCTCATCTCGCCTAGTGTACATGACACATCTATCCATAAAGCTGTGTTATTTGAAATAAGGTGGGGATCGATGTGGACCATCACCGCATCTGTTGCTCTCGGTATACCGAGCTGTCATATTTACAGGGCATAACTGATCCTAGCGCGAGAGTTCGCTGACATTTCCCGACTGCTCCCTATATTTCCTGAAAGTTCCCGACAGTTTCTTATAGTTCCCGATGGTTAGTAATAGTTTCTGACAGTTCTTGATAGTTCCTGACAGTTCCTGACATTTCGTTCCAGTACCCGATAGTTCCTTGTATCTTCTTTGTAGTTTCCGATCGTCCTTTGTAGGACACGATCGGACCTGATGAGTGAGTGAGTTTAGTTGTACGTCGCTTCTAGCAATATTCCAGCAGTAATAGACACCAGAAATGGACTTGACACGTTACACCCATGTGGGGAATCGAACCTTGGTCTTCAGGGTGATGAGCGAACGCTTTAACCACAAGGCTACCCCACCGCTCTCGTACCTGACAGATCCCGACAGTTCACGAGAGTTATTCGTCTTTTCCCGATAGTTTCCAGTAGATCCTTTTAGCCCAGATATCCTGAGAGTTCCTGAGAGTTCCAGCAGAAACGTATACCTACGAGCTTCCAGAGTGCTTCAGCGTGGGCAAGCAGTGCTGCAATATTTTTCAACTCAATTAAAACACAAAATCAGCTTGCTATATTGATCCTCCACATAGCCATGATACGGTACAATGACATGCAACACCTGTCAGCCTAACAGTAAAAACTAGGGGTGACAGACTGGCAGGAAATGTGTTGCCACATGTAAACATTATGTATATTAATATGAATTGTTGAACTGTGAGAGTTTTATTTCCATGCGATTTAATGTATATGCTCGGCGTCACTAGTGAAGGGTCAAGCTAATGGGAACACTATGTCGTAAAAGTTGTAAAATCTTCGTTTTTGCTAGAAATATATACAACTGAATGTTTTACAAACTTTCTTAACAGTATGGAAAAACACATCAGGCCGTTGAAATGTCATTGTTAAGTTCTTTAAAGTCCGATACATTCTGTTACAAATGGCACATTTTTATTCGAATTGTCAATATGGAAATCCACCTGCAACTTAATGTTACCCTTCAGACGGTGTACTTAGTGTACATGATCGTCTCAATAACCTACTCACCCTTCAGACGGTGTACTTAGTGTACATGATTGTCTCAATAACCTACTCACCCTTCAGACGGTATACTTAGTGTACATGATCGTCTCAATAACCTACTCACCCTTCAGACGGTGTACTTAGTGTACATGATCGTCTCAATAACCTACTCACCCCCTTCAGACGGTGTACTTAGTGTACATGATCGTCTCAATAACCTACTCACCCTTCAGACGGTGTACTTAGTGTACATGATCGTCTCAATAACCTACTCACCCTTCAGACGGTGTACTTAGTGTACATGATCGTCTCAATAACCTACTCACCCTTCAGACGGTGTACTTAGTGTACATGATCGTCTCAATAACCTACTCACCCTTCAGACGGTGTGCTTAGTGTACATGATCGTCTCAACCCTTAAGGTGTACATGATCGTCTCAATAACCTACTCACCCTTCAGACGGTGTACTTAGTGTACATGATCGTCTCAATAACCTACTCACCCTTCAGACGTCCAATTGGTGTACATGATCGTCTCAATAACCTACTCACCCTTCAGACGGTTAAAGCTTAGTGTACATGATCGTCGGGCGGTCAGGAGGTTAAAGCTTGTATAAGAAGCGGGGCGGAGTGGTGTAAAGCGTTTGCTCGTCACGCAAAGACCCGGGTTCGAACCCACACATGGGTGCAATGTGCAAAGCCTATTCCTGTTGTGCGCCGCCGTGATGTTTGGGGAATATTGCTAAAAGCGGCTTAAAACCATACTCACTCAATTGTATAAGAAGCATTTATTTCTGCATACCATATGCAAAACAAGGAAAGCTAAGGGTGAATCAATTTCAACACTAATTGTGTAAATACAGCTTGCTAGTTCCTGTCAGTGATAATCTTCCCGAAGTGGTTTCACTTATTTTCTATAACGCCAGTAGTTGGAGAAGTACTGCAGCCCTGCCGTTAAAGGGTTCACCCTTTGCATCGAAGGCTCGGATTCAATTTCAGAAATGGGTATCGCACATGAATATAGGTGAAGTAACCCAACTCAGCACTCACCCTTCTGCAACATGGACCACAAGAGACAAACACGCCATCTGAACAGTCTTATTCTTTTCATACATCCTGTTGTTTGAAGGAAGTAAATTTTAAACATGCATATTCTGAAATCAATTATTTAATCCCGGGTGTAGCAAATATGCGTAAAAGCGATATCTAAAATGTGAGCTGTTGTAACAATTAAGTTGTTTATCATTCCGTTAAAACCCATATGAACAGGTATGTGCAAACATACCCTGGAATCGGAATTTAAGCGTCGAATCAATGACAAGCGGATGCTGGGTGTAAGGACTGCTGCACCCACTTGAAATCTAAAACTTGACGTCCCTCCACGCTGTGAAGAATAATTTTGTAAGTCAGCGTGAGTTTATGTTTACGCCGCTTGTGGCAATATTCAAGCAATATCACGGCAGGGGACACCAGAAATGGGCTTCACACATTGTACCCATGTGGGATCGAATCCAGGTCTTCGGCGAGACGAGCGAACGCTTTAACCACTAGGCTGCCTCACCGCCCTTAAAGAATTGTGTTGTCTGAGACAAAGAAACGTCCATTGTTACATAGCGGATGCAGACACATGGCCTAACATTGAAAATAATAATTCGTTTTGTTATGTGAAAAAACACCCAATATACTGTTATGGTAACATTATTCATATTATCAGAAAACAATATGTTCTGTGGGAAAATATGTATTCTGTGAACTACGAAGTGCATCTGAAACTGATAAATGTGAATATTGACATACGTTGTGTGCATTAATTATTTCTGCGTGACTCACTTTCACAGCAGGCTAGAAGAGCGTCAAACCAGGTAAGAAGATATGCAAGCAAGATGACATAAATTTCATAGATTGTTTAATTGTTTCGTGTTCCGGGAAGATAACAGTTTGTTAATTTCGATATATTTGCTCGACTGAAAAAAGCAACACTCACGCACCTGGTGTGTTCAGCAATGTGATATGCGTACGGAAACGGAAACAGAATATTTTACTCGTTCTGCAAAACGGAAATGAGAACCACGCTGGATGTATGGGTCAATGAAGTAACAACTCGAAATTATTAATTAAATTAATTAAATTCTGTTTGCGGCAAAATTTGGTCGGTCACTCTGTAAATGAGGTAGTAAATTTAGTTTTACTGCATTAATGTTCATGTTGTTTAATAAAAGCACCACGTACCCGTGTTAAATACGGATGCATGATGTTTTCGTGTAATGCTGTTGAAGGTAAATTGGATTTTGACAGTTCATAACATTGTTTATATATTTCATAAAAATCATATTTAAGAGTAATTTAATATATTACCCATTGTTGCATTTCTAATACAGAGCAACATGGAGAAAAGTGTGGCTATCCTGATCATAAATGGCGTCAGAATTTCAGTCAGTGTGGTGTCTCGCAAAATCACGAACCTAGGAATTATGTGGATTTTATAAATATTATTTATTGCTTTTTCCAAAACAATTGGATAGGTCGTTGAAACATGTATAACAGAATTAAAAACAATTATTTCATTCGAAATATCCGCAATTCAACTTCACCTTCATCCGGATATGAGTTTACATGTTGCTGTAATTATCTATCTGTGTATTACGTATCGTAACACATTCATGATCAGTCAGTTGTGATTTGATAAGTCAGACAGATATTCCTTCCGTAAGAGTCGAAATGATCGAGAAACGTTATAACCTGTATTAAAATGCTTCTCGTCGTACATAGAACCATGCAGGGTCCTGACAGCTAAGGGGCGCAACTCCACACACGTTGCAACATGTGCCCCCTCCGATATACATGTTTACGTTTATAATACACATTCACAGCGCATACATCCGTTGCTCAGCAATTAAATTACATTTCCATGGTTGCAAAATACAAGAGAAAACCAAACACATTTCCAGAATTTCCATTTCCTGACACGAACTTGTCCCCGTGCTTCGCATATATCGTTCTCATTATATGTTTAGGTCAGAAACTAGAGTTACCTCTCCCCTACCATTATGGATTACGGACAGTGCAATGGTCTCCATACAAGATCAAGCTCACGGTTATGCCAACCCGCTCTGTTGTCTGGTCAAGCGTCTGCAAACTGTCAGCGTCTTTCATAGATTCAAACACGACAGTTAGACGAAATGACAAGTGGATCTGGGAAACACACCCTCAGATCTGACACTGGAGGAGAAGTCGAAGGCGAGATCCCCAGTCAAATAAGATCCCGGACATGCAAACAATAATGCGTCAAATAACCGGACACGCCCGTTGAAAGATGACGTGTTCAGCTTTATTGATTCTAACATTCGGGGAATACGAGTAAGTTTTACACAATTTTTAATGGATATTTTATGAAGAATGATATGTATATACATGGATACCATTTATCATAACTTACGAACCTTTCGACGCATTGAATCATAGCACTATACGAAGTGTAATAAAATCACGAGACTCGAGTAGATAATTTCCCTGCGAAGTTGATCAACATGATATCAGAACTGGCGTTTGTAGTACATGTCGTAGGGAAGTGTTGCTAGATATTGACGTGTGTCGTTGTGGAATTATGTTACCTTGGAGTAGTGCTGATATAGGATTCGACCAGCAAATCGCTCAATGACAATCGATGTATGCGACTCTTGGTCTCTTTTAGGGAAAGCAATTTATGGGGAATAAATTAATGCCTATATAAGTTCCTGTTTCAGTATTCCATATATGGAGTTGGTGTTGTCGGAGTCATCCTAATCCTCAGGTCTACCAAAGCTGTAAGTTCCACTTCATTCTGTCAACATGAATTCATTTTAGGTGAGGAGAGCGGAAGGTCGCGGGTTCGATCCCCGACCGCGTCATACCAAAAGACGTTAAAATATGGTACTTGTTGGTCCCTGCCTGGCGCTCGGCATTAATGGGTACAACAAGGAATGGTCAGCTCGGAGTCAGTATAATGTGTCTGAGTGGGGTATTCCTGCTTCACTGCGGCATGGTATCTCAGTGGGCTAGCACTATAAAACCAGCTGAAGTCTGGGCTAGTACAAGCAGCCCAACATACACATACACACGCATGCACGTCGTCATATGAGCGAAATATTCTCAAGCACGACGTAAAACCCAATTTCACCTCACCTCACCTAATTTTAGGTGAAACTGTTTAGGCCCTACTTTGTTTGTTTACTTGACGCCACAATCAGGTATTTTCAAGCATTGTATTGACTGTGGTCTGTGGACAATTCAGTCTTGACCAGCACTGAAATCTAGGCTATTGAAGATGATATCTATCAAGGTAGCGAGCCAAACTGTCATTCCACTCTAGTGGTGGTCCGATTAATTGAAATAATCGAAGATTGGTCGCAGTGGCCAAACGACCAAGCAATCGATCACATTTTCTCATAATCGAACACAAACGATTTTGGAACCGCTGTAATAGAGTTTGAAATACTTGATGATGGAACATATCTAGGACGTTGTCAGGGCCTGAAAACGTGTTTATTTCTAAGAAAACTCACTTCACTTTCTGAAAAGTCATGACTGAATATTTCTTGAAGAATCTGGGAAATTAATGTTACACTGGAACTGAATCATTTTACACTGGATGTGAAATCTGCAAATGTAATTTGTGCAGTTTCTAAAAACAACAACAGAGAACCAAATTTTTGTTCTTTATATTTATCTGCAACTACAGCCTGAATAGGAAAATCTAAAAAATGACGCTAACCAATTTTTTTTCGATGATTGGTCGTTGGTATTGAACCAATCATCAATTGTGAGATTTCAACCAATTCCCAACACTATTCCACTCGCTACGAAATATGCTTCTATCTAATGGAAGCCATGTAAGACTCTTCAGAGGCAATACCAGATTTCAGATTTAAGATTTCATTGTGTTCGAATACAGAAAACCTCGTTACTGTTTATTTACTCATTAATGATGTTTGTGGTCAGTAAGTATTTTAGCATAAATACGCAATCACTCACTCATTTTCAGACCCATGTATTCCGTAACGTCTCCGACATCCCCAGGATCTATGTCACCCGCAACATCGTCCTACAGGGCCGGGTCGACAACATCGGAACAGACTGTTGTCTCCACGTCACACACCGCCCACTCATAGCTCTGCCGTCCTTCCTGAAGTCGCATAGTGTCCACGGTGAGTGACAGGAACAGAGCTGCACTGTAAACACTACTGTTCAAAACTAAGTTAACCCTTATCGCTATATGACGACGTCTGTAAACTATCAAGTCTGGGCCAGACAATCCAGTGTTCGTTGACATTAGCACGAGTGGTGGTCCGATTAATTGAAATAATCGAAGATTGGTCGCAGTGACTAAACGACCAAGCAATCGAACATGTTTTCTCATAATCGAATTGAACCAATCTTGGAACACTTGTTTGCATCATCAATATTTTTCACAAGGTTGCTTTTGTCTGTGTCATTAAATTTACATTTCATAAGCACAACAAGCTTGTTCCAAGTCATGATTGAATTTATCTTAAAGAATCCAGCAAACCTGTGTTCCTAACATACTAATAACCCTTTAAATAGGCAAAATTTGCAAATGGATTTCGTTTAATTTGCAAAAAAACAACAAATTACTACATGTTTTTTCTTTATCTTTTACAAAGACAACAGGAACATTTGATAAATGACGCTAACCAATTATTTTCGATGATTGATCGGTTGTAATGGACCAGTCATCAATTATGAGATTTTAACCAATTCCCAACACTAATTAGCACCACTCTTCGAAATTTGGATAGGATGACAAACATCAACTAAATCAGCGACCCTGACCTACTGATCAGGATATGGGTTGCTGAACATTGGTGATAGTATACTGCAGTTTGAAACAATGCTCACTAAAGTGCACTGATGTTTCATTAGGGGTAATCTAGATTTGGTTGGCTGGTTGGTTGGTTGGTTGGCTGTTTAACGCTGCATTCCGCAATATTCCAGCTAGCTGGTGGCGGTCTATTAATAATCGAGTGTGGACCAGACAATCCAGTGATTCACATCATGAATATCGTTCTACGCAGTTAGGATACGATGACATGTGTCAACCACGTCTGCGAGCCTGACGACCGATCCCGTTAGTCGCCTCTTACGACAAGCATGGGTGGCTGAAGACTGCCTTCACGGGTAGGTAATGGAAATATTGGTGCTTTTGTGAGTTGCAGGATTTGGAATATAAGTAGTGTTATCGTCCGTTTAACTTCATTTTAGACCGACGAATTGCTCACAATCACAAAATCTAATTCATGTAATTGCAACACAACCAAATTTTGCACAGTCACATGAAATCGACAAACGAACACTGTTGATTTGTCTCATTATTGTGGACACCCGAATAAATATGTTGTTTAACAAACGATCATGATTTTGTTGTCACTTTTCGCTTCTATTTACGAGGGAGGACCACTTGCTGGTAGAACAGCCAGGTGTGCGAGTTGTACGTGTGAAACTGACATTCCACTGCACACGCTTGTTGATTACCTGGCTACTCTACCAGCAAGTGGTCCTCCCTCGTAAGAAATAGAGTGAGTGAGTGAGTATGATTTTACGCCGCTTTTAGCAATATTCCAGCAATATCACGGCGGGGGACACCAGAAATAAATATGTTGTTTAACAAACATTATTTTGTTGTCACTTTTCTCTATTCTCACGGGGGCGGTAGGGTAGCCTAATGGTTAAAGCGTCCGCTCGACATGCTGAAGACCTGGGTTCGATTCCCCACATGGGTGCAATGTGTGAAGCCCATTCCTTGTGTCCCCCGCCGTGATATTGCTGGAATATTGCTAAAAGCGGCATAAAATCATACTCACTCACTCACTCTATTTCTTACGAGGGAGGACCACTTGCTGGTAGAGTAGCCAGGTAGTCAACAAGCGTGTGCAGTGGAATTTCAGTTTCACACGTACAACTCGCACACCTGGCTGTTCTACCAGCAAGTGGTCCTCCCTCGTAAATAGAAGCGAAATGTGACGACAAAATCATGATCGCTTGTTAAACAACTTTTTAATTCGGGTGTCCATAATTATGAGACAAATCATCTGAGTTGGTCTGTCGATTTCATGTGACTGTGCAAAATTTGGTTTTTGCCATTATTAGATTTTGTGTCAGTGAGCAATTCATCGGTCTAAAATGAAGTCAAACGGACTATACTCTAAACTGACTCTAAGTGTCGTAAATGCATTCCTAGTATGGGAACACTCACTCCCCACATAATTGTATTCAGAGGTGAATTTGTTTTCAGAGGCAAGTTTGCCAATATATATGGCGGGAATCGAACCAAGTCCTGTTGGCCGGAAATGGCTTATTGACAAGGTTAAAGGGCAACATATATGGTTCAAGCTGCTGGAGAGGTCATGTGACTCCGATAGACTGGACTGTTTAGTCTCCATAAGGAAGGTATGACCGTCACTAATAATTTTGTATGTGGATAGTTCATCGAAATTAATGCTTGATGAAACTACCTCGATGGTGTCGTTTGGACACATTTTATTAATACCCTTTTGAAATATGAGTTACGTGTTGATCTTGTCTAATCGTATAAACCCCAGTTTGCTCTTTGTGTGCCAACCCTGACAGAAACGCGACAGAGTTAGTTCCCTTGGTCTCAACCAGACGCCACCATTTGCTTTGCAGAAAGACATTTTAAACGTACCTGTCACTATATGGCTGAATTATTGCCGATGTAAAATGTTAATTCACTCGCCCTGGGCAAATCGCTTTCGCCTGTCATTAACACAGACTACCTAAAACATAACGCGATATAAATAGGGAATCAGACGTTTCTGCTCGAGTGTAACTTTATTATTATGAAATTTAGACACCGAATGCTGGAATATCGCTCATTTTACAGACTTGTGGAGAAATGAATTATTCTGTGATGTAAACAAGATAACGATGTACATATCTACACTCGTGGTTTGAGTATATTAAAGCTGGCGTGATGTAGCCGAAATATTGAGGACTTGAGTCACTGTCTGGGTCAGTGTAAGGTTTTACCTTTCCTCTGTTTTGCCTGACCTTGATTCGAGTATTTCAAAGGTCGCTTCAGTGGTTGGAATAATAATGCATGTGACTTAAAACACGAAACAAAACAGTTTGTTGTTGTGTTGCCAGCGCTTCCTGTTCAAAACTGTCGTAAATGAAGAGCTGATACGTCTCGGACTGTGTCGTCTGCGTGAGTATCCAACTCCTCCCGTTGCGCCAGTCTACAATCACGTGATCAACAAAATGGTCGCCATAGAAGCCAAGCTGGACCGGAAACTATCCCCCCACTAGAGTCGGAACTGCAGCCAGGACAGTTAAGAATGTCCTTGTGTACATCGTGACATTTCCGAAGACGCTGCTGACATATTTGTCGAAATTTAGACGACAATAAAACTGACTTTTCACAAATATTGGATCTCAGTTTGTGTAAACGATGGCTGGTCGTTGATGTTATACTGTTGAGGATAACTTTTGTTCTTGATCAGTTTTCGTTTTATCTTCTCGGTGCTTTTCCCATCTCTGGTGTATTTACATATACGCAGAACAGACTGACATTTTGTTGCAGTGATGTTGAATTTGTTTACGCTTTTCATGATTCGACCGTGGATGTCGTCACTGTCATGATTTTATCTTTTTTTCAGAACGCAGTGGAATAAAGTGATGTTTTGTTCAAATACTTATGTTTCATAATGATTAGATATGCTGAAGGATATGCTGAATGTATCACGCTCACGTACTCAACCAAACTTTATTCGATGCTGATATAGCAATAGGCCACATTGTTGTTACAGGAAATACACAATACAATTCTGCTGACCTGATGAAGTATTCTGATATGTCGTAATTGAACCTGTAGACAGGACTTGTATAGCTAGTTCTCCCTGAACACCAGTTCAGTCTTCATACAAATAATCATATCCTCAAGTGAATGTAGTAAATCTCAGGCTTTATAATGGAAGCACACATTTTTGGTGTGTTATAAGAGTTTCCGATATGTGAGTGTGGTTTGTGATCGTTCATAAATTCGAAGTGTGTGCGTTGTATAAGTAATATGTAGACATGGTTGTCAAATATGGAGTAATTATCACATTTCTATTGTAAATCTACCCTTACTGTCCAAAGGGCTTAGTGCGAAGACTAATTTAACTCAAATTCTATGGTCCAGACTAACAGAAGCCGAAACCGATTCTTCTGTGCAACATGATCATAAGGATGATGAAAAAGAATTCTTGAAAGGCATTTAGAAGTTAGTGTAGAAATACAAGACGGATCAGAAACGTTGAATAAAAGTATATAAATCAAGAAGTTGTTATCCATAACATTTGCCTTGCATGATGAAAAAGAACATGCACATTTTGAAGCAGAATTATATTTATTTAAAAGAACAGATTCATTACACGTGTTAGTTTTATCATTTCACAGTTGTGCACAACTGCACAAATACTAAGGCTGCGCAATATAACCGGTTTACCGGTATTTACCGGTTCAGACATGAAAACGATACGTATTGCGATACGCTGATCGAAAACCGGTATTTTGTTCGGATATGTCCTTGTTTCATTTGTGCCAAATATTATTCACATTTTTATTTTATCATGATTAAAAGTTGTTATTAAAGCTTAATCAAGCCTAGTGATTTTGTTGTGTTTTTGCTCTATAAATCAAGAAGTAACTCGACTATAAGTAGTTTTTGTTTAAAAATACTTCATGCAATATATTGCAATACGTATCGCAATACATGCTTTCGCATCGCAATATATCGCAATATGAAAATTCTCTGCAATACCCACCCCTAACAAATACACGCTTGAACTACATGTGCACTAAAGGCAATGTATGTACGTGATCTGTGATTTCATACATCCCCCTTCAATGACATCCCGTCAGCTGTTGCTGTCATGTAACTCCTTACACAGATACTAATTAACTTTCAAGGAGACACTTTTACAGCTTGTTCGTTATGAACTTTCAAGACCCATCTGCATTGTGCAGTAATAAGATAAAAGAACAAATTCAAGTTCACACATTTAACACACTCTATCCCGATATACATTAAATGTCCAGATCGTAAATCTGGTTCTATGGCTGGTTTTAGTTCCGTTAGTGTCTCAAGATTAGATAGGAGTAAGTGGTTTGGGTCTACACTCTCTCACTCCTTGGTTTCCCGACTGACCATGGAGATCTTGGGGGGTCAGACCGAGTGATTGCAAACCCACGACGTCTGTTGTGGTGTCTGTCGGTCTGGAAAGAAATCATCTATTAAAACAACACGTGTATGATATCATGTTATGTGTTTGGCCTCCGCCTCTTGGCAAACACGTGGGGTATTCGTTGATTTTCATACTTCAATAGATACATCGTGTGATGATCCACTAAAATAGGATCATAAGGGGCATCTGCTATATTCTCCCTCATTAACTGACTCATATATGCATGGTAGTGTATTTATTGTGTATTACATGCACCTTGATATTGGAATCTGCATGTGCAATACAACGCACTACAACTCACCTTGGACATCGAGCACATGCTCTTTTATAATGACGTACATTGTCCTCAAGGCGGGGGCGCTAGAACTGTATGTCATTAATTAAGGTCGGGGGCACTAAAAATAAATGTCATTGGCCTTAAGGTCGGGGCTACTAGAACTTAATGTCATCAATTAAGGGCGGGGGCACTAAAACTTAATTTCATTGGCCTTATGATCGGAGGCGGTGGAATTAAATGTGTCATTGGCCCGGGGAAGAGGGGTCACTAGGGCTAAATGTCATTGGCCTTATGGGTGTGTGTGTGGGGGTTACTACGGCTAAATGGCATAGGCTTTGGTATTGTATTCATAACATTAAGTTGAGAAGAATGATTATGTTATCTCATTGTTCAAGATGTCGTTTGTGTACACGTCTATCATTACGTTTATTACAATTAATACCTTACGCCAGTAAAAGCTTCATTGTCAAATGCGGCTCCAGCCCTTCCTGGTTCTTGGTTGTTTCTTGAGTGTTTGCAGCACGGTGGTTGCATACCCCTGGAAGATAATGACCAAGAGCGTTTGTTGGGAAGTTTCTCGGAAGGCAGTTCACAACGGATTATAATAAGAGGGGATACACCGAATGTTTGCTGAATACGTTAAACAGACAAAGGGGGACAGAATTTCGGTGCACTTTGGACATATATTGAAACAATTAAATCGTTCGAAGATTTAAAGAAAATCGTTGAAATGGCTTACTCTATGACAATGATATGAACAGTGTCAGAGCAGAGGACATGAAGGAAATGTATCATGGACACAGGTCCTCCTTGTCTGATGTGTGGTGTTTCAACCCCTTGACCGAGCCACACAAAATACGTTAAACTATTTCTATTTTCTACTGGTGCTCATGTAGGGATTTAAACAAGGGCAGGTCGGTTTGCCGTTGGCCCATCAGCAGCGGCAGACACACGTGTATATGAGTAAATACTCTTGTGAACACCACTGAACTTCAATTGACCTCACCTCAACAAAACTGAGAGAGTGAGGTAGGTTTTACGTCGCTTTAAGCAATATTCCAGCAATATCACGGCGGGAGACACCAGAAATACTGTACCGATGTGGGGAATCGAACCCGAGCAGAGGCTACATAGCATGAAACTAACTTTGCTACACAGCAAATGCACCCTGGTTACATAAAGGAAGAGAGTGTGGTGGGTGTACAATATAGGGAAATACATGCGATACAAGATGACTGAGAAGAATGGTGAAGAGGTGAGACAGGAGGGGGTGAAAGATGGATGCCCACACGTGTCCCAAGCTTAAATTTATAACAGGGTTAACTTCTGCGTTTTGTTTTGGAAATCATTTCGTTATTGTCAGAATATTGCATCTCGGTCAGCGTTTATTGTACGGATAATATTCGTATTTCATTTAATATTTTTGTCAACACTAGTTGTTTATGGTGCTATACGAGTTCTTTGTTTAAAGGGGCGGTGGGTAGCCTAATGGTTAAAGCGTCCGCTCGTCACGGACGATTCCCACACACAGGGCGTGTCACGCTTAGAAACAGCGTTAGAAAGACATATAGGTATATAGACCCTACCCTAGTACTATATAAAAGGAAAGGGATGTAACGACGGAACCACCCCCTCCTCAATCTAAGTTAGTTTTCACCACGTAAACTATTTTTAAGGCCCCGTCGAGGCCTACGGATCAAAAGCGAGATGATTTCCCTACAAAATGAGCTATAAATGGCCACAATCGGATCATTATTGCAAAATTTATACGCCACGACTCACCGAAAACAGCTACCTCCGCAATTCCAAGCCAAAATCATGGATCACCCAAGACAGCGAAAACTCACCTTTTAAATTCGTTTATTAATTCCAGCCACGTTGACAGCACCTATGTAGGGCTAGATTCGATCGGCAGCGGCATTCCACGGTTCTAAAAACTTATTGCAACATCTACAAATCATTTCCTCGAATGTAATCAGGCATTTTCTCCAAAACCATTGGCAATCATACTCACTTGTCGGCCATTTATAGCTCATTTTGTAGGGAAATCATCTCGCTTTTGATCCGTAGGCCTCGACGGGGCCTTAAAAATAGTTTACGTGGTGAAAACTAACTTAGATTGAGGAGGGGGTGGTTCCGTCGTTACATCCCTTTCCTTTTATATAGTACTAGGGTAGGGTCTATATACCTATATGTCTTTCTAACGCTGTTTCTAAGCGTGACACGCCCCTGTGTTCCCACATAGGTACAAAGTGTGAAACTCATTTGTGCTGTTTCCCGCCTTGATATTGCTGGAATAATGTTAAAAGCGGCATAAAATCATACTCACTCACTCACTTATTTAAGCTACTAATATTTAATATGATGAAAAATGGTGAGAATATAACATCTGCCTGCATCTTCGATGTACCTACCCTCGTTTGAGCATGCACAGATACAAAGCCAGCACGGATAAGATGATTATCAATATTCCCGCCAACACCACCAGCCCGATCATCCATGCCTGCCACCCATCACAGTTCGGATTTTCTTTTGCACATGCGCAGTTATATCTGTTGACGTCGTCGTAGCAGATGTACGGCGGGGAGCATGGGGAACTGCCGCACTCGCTGACGTCATCCTCACAGTGCATGCCGGTCCAGCCAGGTGCGCACGCACACTCATAGTAGAGGTCAAAACCTTCAGCACGGCGGTAGTTGGTGCAGTTGTACAGGTGTTCATCTTTGCCTGGAATTACATATTTAGAATAGCTAACATCAGCAAAACACTGCAGTTGTATTTTCAAAATTCAAACCCGCGAAGATCCACATCAGAATTAGTCTTCAGCAACCCATGCTTGTCGTAAGAGGCGACTAACGGGATCGGGTGGTCAGGATCACCGACTTGATTGACACATGTCATTGTATCCCAATTGCTCAATACGTTAAACAAATAGATCAATGCTCATTCGGTTGATTACTGGATTGTCTGGTCCAGACTCGATTATTTACATACCGCCGCCATATAGTTGGATTACTGCTGAGCGCGGCGTTAAACAGCAACCAACTAACCAATTTAATGTTCTACTTGCATTTGGTGTTTAAGGTCCATACAAGTATCAGCAGGACTTTCCCTAACCTTTTCACTGTTAACCTCTATGTAGACCATTTTATGCATACACACAACAGCTTTTGTGAGACGAACTATCTCTACCATGTCTCCCTCAGGAATGGAATATATGTTTAATGTTGCATTCGGCATAAAATATGAACTTCATAAGGTCTACTTTTAAACAACTTAATGACTTGCATGACAACGACATTACAATATATATCGAAACGTCGCCTTTCACAGAAGAAAGAAGTTGTATATCGATAAAAAAATATCATCATTCTTCATCACCTCACTTCTAAAATGCCCCTCAAAGAAAACTTCAACAGGTTTGGTTGGAATTATTAGCGATCAAGCATTTATTTATGGTTTAATGCTTTAACAGAACGTCCTTGGTGTATGCTGTGAATGTTGTATAGTAATGTACATGTTTGCTTTTTTGTTGTTGCAATGTGGCAGAAATATTACTGATGTGACGTTTAATTTCACTCTGTACGGACGTGCTTATGATCACCCTGACCTCACTCACTCTAAAACTTCCCATTCAGATAGATCGTAAATAGTAAAATTTCACAATACATACAATATGATAATCCAAAACAAGTAGGCCAGCTTAAGGTTGTTCTAAATATACTTACTTTTACATGTCCCGCCATTCTTGCAAGGTGTCTCTTTAACAACTGGATTAGCCGTACTGACGTCATCAGAATCCTCGCAGCGAATGCCGGTCCAGCCAGGTGCGCACGCACAGTCGTAGTAAAGTTGAATACCTTCTGAATCAGCACTGTTGTAGTTGGTACATTTGTACACCCTTTCATCCTTACCTGGAATTTAGAATTTGTGTTTCAGCGAATGCCTTAACGATGGGTGTAGAATATCTTCTCGTCAATGCGATTTATATGTCATTTTCAAAGGAATGCCATATTACATAGATAGCATTAACATATCAAAAACATTGACATTTCATAACAAAACGAAATCATGTTATGATATGAATCATCTAGGCAATTTATTAAAGCATTCATTAAAGTAAACCTATCAATACTTACTTATACATGTTCCACCGTTCTTACAAGGTGTCTCCATAACACCTGGCTTAATCGTACTGACGTCATCCTCTTCCTCGCAATGCATGCCGGTCCAGCCAGGTGCGCACGCACACTCATAGTAGAGGTCAAAACCTTCAGCACGGCGGTAGTTGGTGCAGTTGTACAAGCTTTCATCTTTGCCTGGAATATAAATATCGAATATAAAGTGAATTAGTTTGGTAGAAGAAAGATCCTTATGGGACCTTGTTTGGTTGTTGTTCAATGCCGCACTCAGCATTATTCCAGCTATATGACTGAGGATTGTATATCATCGAGTCTCGACCAGACAACACAGTGATGGACATTCTTGATCATCTATTTGTGTACAGCTTGTTCAGCTTGACCTGAGCTACTGTACATATGCATGACCCGGGAGGTCAAATGGCAGAAACGACAGATCGGGTTATCTTCATTAAATAGGGGTGAAGAGAATGTTATTACTGTTGCGTTTGTGCGAAGCATGCATACATAGATTCCTTACAGAACTTGTCCCGGAAAACAACACTTCAATTATCACTTTTTCTATTTCATGTTCAACTGCAATATTTCTGTCCCAGTAGTGGATTCCCAAATTTTCAACATGGGCACATCAGTCAGTCCACTCGGTTACACCATTCATCTGACAAAGGTGCACCCCTTCAAAATAATAGACCCAACCGGTCACGCAATTCATTAGTATTCACTTGATCAGGTCAAGCTGAACAAAGTGTAATTGTGATACGATGACATGATCATACATGAGCAAAGTCTGACCATCCGATCTCGTTGGTCGCCCCTTACAAGCATGGGCAGCTGAAAACCAATTCTAACCCGGCTCTTCATGGTCATTATTGTTGAGTCAATATGGCATCCCGACATGGCGTCTCGTAGTTTGCTAAGATTTCCCATTTGTCTGGAACTGGAACCAACAAATGACTTTGTCTTCCCCCCTATGAGTAATTTGTTACAGCTGATAATCGCGACTTGTTATAATCTGGTCTTGACATTTTGCATTTAAGAATTTGTTATAGTGGCGGTGGGGGAGCCTAGTAATTAAAGCGTTTGCTCGTCACGCCGAAGACCCAGGTTCGCCCATTTCTGGTGTCCTCTGCCGTGATATTGCTGGAATATTGCTTAAAGCGGGGTAAGCTAAACTCACTCACTCACTCACTCATTGCTATGGGACTTACGTATCTTCGACGCGACGCTAAATTCAATTCACTCAGTGCAAGTTACCCTACAGATACATCTACCACACAATGGCATATAACCATGCGAAAGAGGATATATACTTATAGAAACAAATAAGCGAACGCATGACAGTACAAGACTAGAGTTCCTGTATTTATTTCGCATGCACGTCGTCATATGAGCGAAATAATCTTATTTCACCTCACCTCATCTATATTTATTTCGAGAATTTCACTCACAGTGCAATACATACCTTGTGAAGAAACCTGGAAAAGAATAAAGGAACACTTGTACTTTCATGTGTTCCCTTATTTGTTTGCATGAGTATAGTTATAGAAGGCATGCGCAACACAGGGTATGAAGTAAAGGTATCAATACTTACTTCTACATTTCCCACCATTTCTGCATGGTGTCTCCATAATCCCTGGTTTAATGGTGATAACATCAGAGTACACCCCTGTCTGGTCCTGGACATAAACCCGGATCTCTTCATCACCATGGTAACCAGGGTCAGGTTGGTACTGGAAGGTCGTGTACACCCAGCTGAGGGAGTCGGCAGGATGGGGCAGTTGCAACTTGGCACAGGGGATGCCGCTCTGAAATTATATGGTTCTACATGGCTACGTATATCCGCAAATGTTTGGATTATTGTATGCATTGTTTTCAGGATATATTGAATTCCGATCTGCATTGTTTCACCAACTGGGTTTTCGTAAGTCACAAAGCAATGGGCAGGTTACGAATCCATCTTGCATAGAATCACGTAAAAACGAGAGGGTTTTATTCACCTACAGCTACACTTTATGCAGATATATGAATATGATAATTTTAAAGATTGTTTTGAGAGTTTTATTGTACGCCATCCTCATACATAAGCATGTCTTTGACCCAGGTTGATGTCAACAGGAGATTTAGTACCAACATATGCACGGAGGTTCAATGTATGACGAAAGTCGATAAACTATTACGGTGAAACATCCATTAGGAATAAGAATAATGTATTAGGAGAAAGATCATCATGAACTTATTTGAAATTCGGGTAAGAATGTGTGTGTGTGTGTGTGTGTGTGTGTGTGTGTGTGTGTGTGTGTGTGTGTGTGTGTGTGTCTCTCTCTCTCTCTCTCTAGCAATTACCAAGGGTTTCATCAAACAGACTGCCGAAATAATGTGACTCTGCACTTACCGTATTGTACGAACAGGGGACTCTGGTGTTCATGTCATCAACGGTGAGGTTACCGCTAGTCGGCTGAGTGAAGTATATGGTCAAGTTGTCGCCGATGTCAAAGTCGTATGCCCCAAACTCCCATCTATATGTTGTTATGTTACTGTCATTTAAAGTAACATGCTCAGGGTAAATCTGAAAAATACAAAACTTATTGTAATAGAATTATATGAAAGGCATTAACATGGCATTAAACCACTAGGGAAAGTTATGTCCATTGTTCTTGGAAGTGTTTTATTACCATAACTGAATAACTGCCCTAGGGCAATTGTTTCTATTTACAAACAATAAACTTGTACTAACTTTGATAATCTTCATCATGCCTAATACATTACACGCATATTAAATAAGTATGCCCTCGTGGTGTAAGCCGTTTAATAACCCTCACAACGGACTAAAGCCCGAGTTTATTTAAATAACTACTTTGTAAGGGTGATTAACCTATACATAACCGTGCATGCAACGCTGCAGGATGCTACAAGAGAACTGTTTCAATAACATATCACTTGGAGGAATACCTCAATTGGAAGTGTTGGATCTGCATTAAGGACGTTGCCTTCATCACTGAAGACAAAGACGCTCGGTGGGTCGTTCACAGGATTGATGCTGATGCTGATGGTGGCGGCAGATTCAGCCGGGGTGATCCCAGGTACATCAACTTCGTATAATACCACTGGGATGTCTAAATTGCCATAGAAGTTAGCAGCAGGGGTAAAGGTCAATCTGAAATTTCATTGAAAAATGAACAGAAAGTGCAAAATATTTGGAATTGGTCTTTTCAGAAGACTACTTCTTAAGTGAGATTTTATAAATATCATCACAGTTCAGTGTGAATGTTAAGCCTCATACGAAACGGATTTTATAACTGGACGATTGTGGCGAAACAGATGATCGGATCCTGGTGGCTCAGGGACGTACGTTTTTCATGCCAAACAGACGCACTGAGTTGTAACAGTTAACTGTTCCTTTCATCTGACCGTGAGCAGGTCTAGAAATTTCAGCTGTCCATTTCAATTTCAAAGCATTAAAGGCATGTTGAGTAAACATGACAAACAACAAACGATACCAAACAAGTCTAGATATTCAAAGGACATGTTCTATTGTAGAGAGCTTGCGTAACTTGCTCAGGTAACTATCATGACGGTAATATACCATTAAAGAAAAGTAGGGGATATTGGATTTACAAGATTGATAAAATGAAAATTAATGATGAAGCCAAGGAGGAAACAGATGATGAAGAGAAATTAAGAGAAAATGTGACATTTCATTCCATTCCTTTGGAAATGTTTCATCTGTATGGATATATGTTACTTTGCTAGTGGTATGCTCGAAAAATGGAATATCCCCTACCTTTTTGAATGGTATATGTGCGGTGTTCCCGCTTATGGAACCGATTTTAAGGGTCAATGCTGGACCTCGACCTGTTTATGAGTTTGGCTTATCTGCAGTCAAATGCAGTCATTACAATCAGCTATACATTTTATCTTAGTTATATGACTCCCGTCCTCGGTAAGCCAACACAGCATTGCAATACTCAATGCAGTATATGAAGCACGGTGACAATTCAGTTAGTTTGACTGTGGCATTATTATGGACTTATCATCAGAAAAACGGTCAACATACAATCCATCCTCTGATAGAGTCAGTTCCAGATCTCCCACAACGAAGTCGTCGAGCATCCTGTACTTGACCACGTCTCCATTAGCGTCTGTGGATGTCATCTGGTATACCAAAGTGCCTGTCACAGATTAATGCATACTTCAGAAACATGAATAACATATTCGACACGTGTATGTATTAACAATGTATGTATTTCAATTAAAAATGCACGGAACGATAAAGACAGCTAATGAATATGTATGTAGTCTTCTTGCACCATCCAAGAGACACATACCATGGTCTTCCTGCATGACAAGAGACACCGTCTAAGAGACACATACCATGGTCTGCCTGCCTGACAAGAGACACCATCTAAGAGACACATACCCTGGTCATCCTGCTTGACAAGAGACACCATCTAAGAGACACATACCCTGGTCTTCCTGCTTGACAAGAGACACAAACTAAGAGACACATACATTGGTCTTTCTGTATGACAAGAGATACCACCTCAGAGACGCATACCCTGTCTTCCGGCATGACAAGACATACCATCTCAGAGACGCATACCCTGTCTTCCGGCATGACAAGACATACCATCTCAGAGACACATACCCTGGTCTTCCTGCATGGCAAGAAACACAAGCTACGAGACACATACCCTGGTCTTCCTGCATGACAAGAGACGTCCTGCTGGTAAGCTGGGGAGGTGAGTTAGGTATCTGTGTCAGAGCTGAAGTCAGCAGGAACTGGGTCGGGTGTCTGAAGTACGTGTCTGACGCAGATCCCGGACTGCTGCTGTCTGCCAAGAATCTGGTGTTACATACCTAGTAAAAATAAACCAAGCGTGTCACGCACACCTTTACAGACAAGTTGGTGGTGAGTGATATACCTGCTTGATACTGTAGAAAATGCTTCAGTTATGTTGGAAATCCATGGTCTCCGACGAGACGGGGAAAACCGCATAAGTTACCCAACGGCTCTTCACAGAGCAATTGGAATAGTCCACGTGTTACATTGTATAACTCGCTTGATAAAACTCGTACAGCAAAGATCCATAAATTATTAGAAAACGCCCATATGGCGAAACAATGACTATATATTTGCCCTGTAACAAATAAGAAAACGACGTATGTGATATGATAAATGTAAATGAAACAATAATCATGATCCCTTATTTATCTATGCGATTGTGAAGATATTGAAACACTCACTTTGACCATGACCCGAGAGGTCCCCGGGTCTCTGACCTCCGTGCCTGTTTCATGTTGACAGGTCTTGTTGCTCTGTTGCCACTGTTTGGCATCTGTATCATACAAACATCATTAAGCAGAGGCGATCTCCACTGATGTAATGCACGTTGCAATTGTGAGTTATTGCTTGATTGTCTAGTGAGTGAGTTGAGTTTTACGCCGCACTCAGCAATATTCCAGCTATATGGCGGCGGTCTGTAAATAATTGAGTCTGGACCACACAATCCAGTGATCAACAGCATGAGCATCGATCTGCGCAATTGGGAACCAATGACATGTGTCAACCAAGTCAGCGAGCCTGACCACCCGATCCCGTTAGTCGCCTCTTACGACAGCATAGTGGCCTTTTGTGGCAAGCATGGGTTGCTGAAGACCTATTCTACCCCAGATCTTCACGGGTCCTGATTGTCTAGTAGAGCGTCTAGATAGCTTCAGTGAGGGAGTGTTTTTTTTGTCGATTTTAACAATACCCAATCAATATTCTGGCGGGGGACACCATAAATTGGGGTGACACATTTTACCCCTTTTTGAAGTGACGAGCGAACGATTTAACCACCATTCTCCCCCATCGCCCCTTCCAGATTAAATAATAGTAGCAATGACAAGACTTGACTTTCTGGATGATCAACTTCTTCATTTTGACAATGGCGACGTTTCGGTATAGATTCTTATACCGTTTTCAAGCATATGGGGGAATGATGGAGTACACCAGTTTATATACAAGATAAGATAAAGAGATAACAACGCTAGGAAAACAAAGCATTTAGACAAGGCTTCTAGAATGCCACAGAATAAATAATAGTAAATATTATAATATCAAGTACATGCAATCCGGGTGATCACTATATCCCCATGGATTTTACACGAAATTTCATCATCAACATCAGTTCATATCAAAATACAGTTGACAGTGTCAGTCTGAAGTCTTCACCCAAAACACCACTGTGACGTGCTTCAGGGTCTCGTTGTTTCATATAATCATTTAAAACTAAATCATTCAACATCAACTTTATTTGACATTATTTGAATTTGGGTTATGGATAACAGTCTAGTACCCTGATCACTCGGAGACATCGTCTTGTATCAATAATCAATTCATCAAAAAGGAAAATGGCTACTTATAGTATAGTTCCCCGTCAACATGGGTTGAACCAACTAAACCATTCCGTAATCGTAAAACTAGGAGTGGAAAACCATATCCACAAATTTTACAAATACGTTATAAAATCAGAATCCATTGTAATCTTTGAAATACCATGAGTATGTGCCTATGAATCAGTATTAAAAAGTGATGACACATGGTGTATCCCGAGGTCACAAACACATGCAGAGGCAAGTCACTTGCAGTGAAATGTATGCCCGGTGCATTAGGAAACAAGGGCAAAAGCTGTGGACTGGTTTCCTATGAAAGGAAGTACATATACAGAACATTACCTGTGTTCCAGTGAAGCAGCATCAACGTTGTGTTGGTCACCGTGGGATCATAGGTGAAGGTCACTTTCACCGGTCCTGGCATGGGAAGATTACCAATGCTGGTGAGAGAGAACGAGAGGTCGGTTTCCTGGTAGTTGAGCCTCTTTCTGAGGATTCTGTCCGTGAAGGCATCTTCTGTGGTTGACGTAGATGGGTCAGTGATGTATGGGACGAACTCCACCGAGGCGTCAGACTTGTATTCCGTCTCTAGATCCAGCTTTGTGAGCTCAGTGACTACGATGCTCTGACCAGTTTGTAGGCCTGTATCAGATATGACATACAACAAATGAAGTAAATCAGATTTGCTGTGTTCGTTATTGTTTTGACATGTACTGTCGAAATGAAACCGCTAATGCATGTACTTACCATCTGGTGTTGACACAGTTACTCCTGAAACATCCCTCTTTCTTCTAGCACCACCACCAACATCTACAGTAACGGCAGAACCATCTGACGACGTCGCCATCGAGGACTTGTCCGTCTCCACTATGGTAGAGCCCAGCAATATGGTGGTACACAACTGGGCCTCATTACACATCTTCATGAAGATGAACATCTCTGTGCCTGGAGCCATGGTGAAGGCTGACCTGTCCGTGGTGGTGTTGGATGCGTTGTAATTTGTCTTCAGCTGGCTCAGTGTGTAGACAACATTGCCGTTTAGTTTGAGGTATCCATCAGCTACTGTGATCGTCCCCGACTCGTTGTAGCCGACCCAGGTGCAGGGGAAGATGTCACTGATGCTGGTCTCGGAATTCCCCACACAGAAATCTATATCAAGAATATGTGAACATGAACACTTACAATTCTCAAACAAATCAGAGTTTTCGCCACATATCCATATTGGCAAAATTCGGAATGCGATAATAAACCCCAGTTCAACTAATAATAATAGACAAAGGAACCATGTCTTGGTATCAGCACAACTTTCAAACGGTATACTTGGGCAATTATCATCTGAGTCATTATCTTCTATTACATAAGCAATAATAATATGATAATATGAAATCTGGCCACAATCAATCCACCTGTGCACACATGTGATATAGTAAGTCTCCGCAAAATAATTCTACGAAATTCGTACACGACTTTGACTGACATTCAAGCAGTTTGTGAGTAAATAAGAAAGCAAAGAACTTCACAGATACAACTGGTTAACTGCTTACAGCAACGTTTCGATACAGATTCTGACACCGTTACCAAGCTGGAGTATTATAGGGACGTGGTCAAGGTTATTGAGTCTCCACCAGTGGTAATAACTATTCAACCAGTCAGTGAGTGTGTTGAGTTTTACGCCGCACTCAGCAATATTCCAGCTACTTGAAGGCGGTCTGTAAATAATCGAGTCTGGACCAGACAATGCAGTGATCAACAGCATGAGCATCGATCTACTTATTTCGGAACCGAGGACATGTGTCAACCAAGTCAGCGAGCCTGACCAACCGATCCTGTTAGTCGCCTCTTACGACAAGCATGGGTTGCTGAAGATCAATGAGTGAGTGAGTGAGTTTAGTTTAACGCCGCACTCAGCAATATCCCAGCTATATGGCGGCGGTCTGTAAATCATCGAGTCTGGACCAGACAATCCAGTGATCAATAGCATAAGCATCGATCTGCGTGATTGGGAACCGATTACACCCGATCCCGTTAGTCGCCTCTTACGACAAGCATAGTCGCCTTTAATTGCAAGCACATGGGTTGCTGAAGACCTATTCTACCCCGGATCTTCAGGGGTAGCTGAAGATCAATTCTAACCCGGATCTTCAAGGGCGATTCAAACAAGCAAGAACACGTGACGGTGGAGATTTCGGATAATGCTGAGAAACAGGATACATTTGTTTCTTGACGCTATTAATAGTTTGCGTATTCCCTAAAATGTACGCTCTAATGATGGTTACGTGTGCGCGCTGCTTGTATCGGCAATTGTTGGAAATACTTACTTGGGGCAGACACGTGTGTTGTTTTGTTGATGAAATCTGAGGTTCATGTGTTGACATTAAGGGTTAAATAACAAAGTTACCTGCAGTTACCACACATCAACATTATATGCACTGATCGGTAATTACCGTATCTCCGGATGCTCTCATCATCAGATACCGTCCAGGAAGCACCTACAATATTCTGGTCCTTGGTTGCAATGGAATTTGGTGGCGTCACTGTCTCCCCTAGTGGATCAGCTCCCTGTATCGTCGTGATGACGTCATCAACCAAAGGAGACTTAAGCAGCACCGTCACACCTTAGGATAATTAGATGATGTAGACTTTTAGATACTTGTAGATATTTATATGTAACATTTGGAATTGTACTTTCTCAGTGAAGTACAGAATATAGTACTTTTGTTACGTTGAGTTCCATCCCAGATTCTAACCCACACTCTCAAAGTGAGGCACAAAATCGCCAGTACAAAACGTGAGCTGTCTTGCCCACTCCACTGGCTTCCACACTTTATTCATTTCACTTTAAATAAAACGTTTCAATGATCTTCTTGTCCTGAAGCAATGGAGTCACACATAATACCCACTGTGCAATTAATTAAACCATAAGACTATGTTATTATTTTTCCTATAACGTCATTTGACAATTCTGACGCTCAACGATATTCAGCGAAACGTTTGAGATTCGCAAACGTAGGTCTCTATAGACAAGGATCAGGGCCGTGTTCAAGCAAAACGCTTCATATTTTGAAGACCACCGAAGAGATACGAGAGAGTTTCTGGTCAGTAGAATAAAATACCACATGTATGCGTGGCAAAACCTCTTCGACACCCATAAGAACTCTCTGCTAAAAGCAGAGTCGATTGTTATTGACGACTATATATTGACCATGTGTTTATATATAAAGGTGAGTGCCCCACCAGTCGCAACCCTTACAAATACCTGCCAACCTAGCCAAGTGTTCACCTGAACAAAAACGGGAATATATGGTACAAGTCAAAATAAGGAACTGAATCGGTCATCTTTTTTGGCAGTGTCACATTTGGAAATATCCTCCACATCTCACACGTTTCCCGGAACTTATGAAAACAGTTGGCACGGAATCAGATATGAGTAAAATGACTAAAACCGTATACATTTTCTGAATATAAAGGAAAAAAATATGACAGTATTTTAATACATGCACAGCTCTGAAAAGAGTAATAATCAATTGTTTGATGTATTGAGGTACGCACCTCTGGGATCAGCGTATGTTGTGACCAGCCCACCCCCGTTGGTACATCTGACGGTCACGTAGTACGTCGTGTTGTGTTCCAGGAGGCCTCCAAGATCGGAGTTAGTTGAGGTTGGGTATTCTCCTGCTGAGACAAATGTCTGCAACTCTTCTCCACCTGGCGTCTTGCCTATTGCCCAGTCGTAGTTCTGGAGATGTTAAATGTTCACGTCAAAACAATATCAACAATGTATGTTTTTGAGTGAACGCAACTGAACTTTAATGACTACACATTCAATACGTTCTTCTGGACCTGGTGTTCAAAGACTACTGGGCTGTCTGAGAATGCTATACAGTAGTTGGTTAAATGTTCGATTCCTCACACGGATAGTCAGACGCCGATTTCTGGTCCTACCGTCTAGATGTGGATGGAATATTGCTACCCCAATATATAAACTTCAGGTATCACGAATGTCCATTGAACTAATTATACATGAACATGGTGATATTGAACACATGAGGACTGGATAAACGAGGCTTCATTGTGCATACACTTGCATGAAACGTCCTACCTTGCTGACTATCACACAAAAAATAACAAACGTGATTGACACAACAACTTTTGATGGAAGGACTTTCCATCATGTTTCTGTTGAATTTACCAGTTTATATAAAAGAGATATTCTCAAATACCTCAACAAAGTCTTACCACAATTTCACTCTCGTTATCGTTGCACTTCCATATAGCCTTAATAGTGTCGTTGGATCCCTGGTACGTCACAGGGGTGAAGTTGCCCTGAGTGACGTCGATGTAGAGCATGAGGTCAGGGTCGAACAGTGGTGGTGACGTGTCGATGTTGAAGCCGTCAGATGACGATACCGCCTCTGTACCAGACCCAAGGACAGCTTTCACTGGAATCATCAGATTTACCAAGTGGTTCATACATACGGAGCGGAGTGTACGAAGATAAAAGCATGGAGGTTTCTATGTTGCTTTGATATGCATACAGATCAGATAACAAATGCTGTGCTTCTGTCTTACGTTTTAACATTTCTGTTCCGTTCTCGATAAGGCGTACACCTACCTGTCTAAAACTGTTCAACTTACCTGTGAGGTAGTATAATACAGGGACTACTTCTCCCTCCACGACTGTTGATTCTGTGAGGTTGAGGTCGTTGAGGGTGATCTTGACCTGGTCTGTTGATGAGCTGTCACATGATGCGTCACATGTGTAGACGTCACAGGGAGTCAGACAGGGGATACATGGTGTATGTACCTAGCAACACGTAGAACACGTCACAGTAAGCTGACGTAACGTCACAGGGAGTCAGACAGGGGATACATGGTGTATGTACCCACCAACACACAAAAGACGTCACAGTAAGCTGATATAACGTCACAGGGAGTCAGACAGGGGATACATGGCGTATGTACATAGCAACACGTAGAACACGTCACAGTAAGCTGACGTTACCCTCATTACCCGACCAAAGACCACATCACGCAGACAGACATAACCGAAATACTGTTCCGTTCTCGCATAACACACGCAGTAAGCCCGTAGGAGTCACTTTTTCACATAAAAACATTCTATAGCTAATTAGTTAGACATGGATACACATTCTCACCTGCTGGTATGGCACTACATCGGACAACCCAGATGCAGACCCGATTCCAGCCTCATACCGAACAATGGCGTTGTTACCTCCTTGGAAAGGGTTGCCATAGCGACACAGATTCTCCTTTACAGCTGGCATCACCAGGTCACGGAATGAAGCCGTAGCACTCCAAACCTGTAGATGTCCTTCCGAATCTCGTTCAGTGTCAGGAATATAGTTCTTGTGATTCCAGACTCCCAGGAAGAGTTTGGTGTCGGGAGAGAGACGTGGTATCCCACATTGTTCCGTCAGGACATCTCCGTCCATTTAGATGAACATGCACCAGGTTATCTGAAGCAGGTATGTAAAATCAAGAACAAGTATGTCTTGTTGATTACTATGCAGGAAGGTTTTGCATGCTTCGAGCTTTTGCTTTCAAACGTATTGTAATATGGTTAAAGGGCATTTGGTATGAGTGAGTTTAGTTTTACGCCGATTTTAGCAATATTCCAGCAATATCACGGCGGGGGACACCAGAAATGGACATAACACATTGTGCCCATGTGGGGAATCGAACCCGGGTCTTCGGCGTGACGAGCCAACGCTTTAACCACTAGGCTACCCCAACGCCCCAGACTTTTAGATACTTGTAGATATTTTTATGTTACATTTCGTATGAGGAGTATATGACTCTGCATAATCATATAGTGTATGCATTCACTTGCAATATTAAACTCGTCACTTAATATTTATCTGTACCATGTAACATTGTTCCTACTGATTGTCTATGCTTGGACATGGAAGATATTGGATCATATATGGTGGCATGGACCTGTGCTCTGCACATTCTGGGCATATGTGCCTTTTGACCCACTGTACATTGTAAGTATTATGACTGACAGATCCAATTTCATATGAAACTGGTATTGCGTGTAGCCCAATAAGAAAAAGGTTCTCTCGTTTTGGCAAATACCCAAATACGACTCTCTAGCCATACTCTCCCAGATATCAACTCGGTACCTCAGTACAAGTCCATCCGTTCGAACTGTTAGCAAATTACCAAGTACATGTAACCAGATGCCTTCTGAAAGGTACTTGAGTTCACCCTTTCACGTGAAGACCCACCTCTTCAAATCACGTTTATAATATATTTCTGTACCTCTGATTAAAACAGCCCACCTTCAATGTTCATGGGTGTGGCGCAGAGAGCATTAACTTGGGCGTAAAATGAATGGAATGGACGTATATCGACATCATCATCATCATCATCATTGTTACTATTATGAGCATCACTACCTCTGACCCCCTGGCCTCATCCCTGTGTGTAGTGAACCTGATCCAGTACTGATGGTAATCTCCAGAAGGGTCTTGTTCCAGATTTCGCACAACTGACATCGGTTTATTCAAGTTGTCGCCATACCCACACCAGGCCACCAGTTTGGCTTCTTGTCCTGTAAAACATATAGAGTGTCATACCGCGCTCTTGGTGTTAACATTTGTCTGCTGTGTGTTGTGTAACCGCGCTCAGCAGTATTCCAGCTACATGGCGGCGGTCTGTAAATAATCGAGTTTTGACAAAACAGTTCACTGATCAACATCATGACCATCCCATAGGCGGATCCAGAGGGGGGGGTGCAGGGGTGCGCACCACCCCTTTTGTGCTGAAAGTTTGTTTATACACTATTGAAACTCGGGTGTAAATGAAGTGTGCACCCCTCCTTTTCTTAATAGTGTGCACCCCCCCCCCCCCCTTTCTCAAAAGCTGTATCCGCCCCTGCATCCGTCAACCAGATTCAACCAGATCTACAACCCTGAAATCCCACCGGTTGCCACCAGCACGGACTCCTGAAGATCGTGTTCTAACACGGCTCTTCTAGCGTCGAATAAACGCTTTTGTATTCTTATTAGAGACCGACATTTTAGTATCAGAATCCCATTAATGCGATGTCAGAAAACACCATTCTTCCTTCCATGACCCTGACCTGGTCATACGTTCACAAAAAGCTGCAAGCATTGACTATAAACCAACCAGCTCGTTCACGTACCCGAAAACAATTGCAACCCACAGGACTTTCTGGGAGTAAGTTTCATTTTGTCCGCTTCAATCTTGTCAGTGATTGAACCAGTTTCCTGTAATTTCTTTTATCCTCATCCGTGAGCTTCGTCACCTGATAGCCTGGGTCATCCTCGTCAACAGATCTCTTGCTGATGGTACTGACTGACCTCGTGGAACAGTTGCAGGCACAGGACTGGGATACCAAACAGAGATTCAAATCTTCAACTGAACATAGGACGAATCTGAAAACTCACAGCTGTCTAAAATGTTTATTCTATAGTCAAGTAAAATCTGAAATTACTTTTTACGAGTGTGTGTGTGTGTGTTTCTGCCTGCCTGCCTGTTTGTTCGTGATGGTATTGACACGTGTCAGTGTTACAATGCAAGCCCTCTGAGATATCATGCAGTTTTTTTATGAATAGCCAGCCCAGAGATCATATACAGCCTCTGACTCGATCCTACAGTAGTGTTATTTCCGACGTTATGCCGATCAAACGAAGGGTAACAAAACGCTCTGTTTTAACGGTTTTTTTATTCAAACCATCAACCTCTGGCTCTCCTGACAGACACTTCACCTGACGACATAAGCGGCCTTACAATATCCAAGATGACTTCTATTCTGAACGTATGCAAGTCCATGATTACTACATTATCACTTACATCAGGAACAGGATCCACCCTGCAACAGGCACACGCTGGGTCAGGCCAGACAGGTCTTGGTGTGTAGTCGTAGTCCAGGATGTAGTCATCAGGGCCGTCCCAGAACAGGACACTGGTGACCGCTTGACCATCACCTGCTGCAGCTCGGATAGTGAGCTGAAACACAGAAAACGTCATGTTTTCGTACACATTTTCTATTAATGGGGAGATTTTATAGATGTCGTCTTCATTTGGAGGACACATCGTCATAAAGAAGTTGCCGTCCATGAAGTGCTCAAAAAACACAACACAACTCATCATTAATCAACAAGATTTACTTGTATCATTTAACATCAATCATTTCAACAGATGTCACTCGTTGGGATGTTGAAGGATTCATTTGGATGATTTTGCGCTTGTTCACTCCAAATACTAGTGCGTGATCCATGAACACGAGGCAAAATGGACACTGTGTTGAATGACTGCTGGACATGTAAAATGAATGATGCAGGACAAAAAGGGCCATGGATTTTGCAAACATTATTGTTAATTAATTTCCCTTCTGAAATTATGCAGACATGTACAACGTCACGGAGTCTGATCACTTAATCTCTTTGATTCCCTCTAACGACCAGTATACATATAGGTTCTTGACGACCAAACCAATCATTATAGCCATTTTTGACTCAGATCATAGACTGGAAAAGGTAACGTGAACTATGTGACAATTTGTATCACAATACCTTATACTCTCCGCCATTGAGAAGGTCAGCATCTCTGAAGTAGGTTCCAGAAGACATTGAGTCAGTCTTGGTATCTCTGGCCAGTTTGATGTCCACTTTGCGGGACTCGGTATGCACGTTGGCTGATCTGTAGGTCAAGGTCAAGCTGCGGTTGTTGCTGTCATGGTTACGGTCAGACTCCAGGTACATCCACTCCGAGTCATCAAATCTAATTTGTCTGATAGGACACGGAGACATGTCGGGCACAGGGTGGTGCAGGAAGGTGCCTGTTAATGATTGCAGCTGGATACATTCAGAATTCCGCATGATGATACTTATTAATATGCTACTGGACACAAGTCAAACAACGTCCACAAAATATAACAGCATCAATAATGACTGTTGGGAGCATAAACTAGCTTCGCCTCAGTTGGTATGTCATGATTATGAAGTAAGTCTAACGGTGTATATCTGAATATAATTAAGGCGTATGGTCAACGTGAAAGTTGTATTAATACGTGATTAGGTACCTGTAACCACTGCTGAACTGCTGCTCCAGCTGGCGTCTTGTAGGAAGTCGTGTCCGTCGATGACGAGGCCGGGGGAGGGGAAGGAGTTGTCATACATGACTGGTGGAGAGTCTAATGTCGACTTGAGCCCAGCAAAATTCTCCGCCACGAGACGCACAAAGTAGGTAGTCTTGTCCTTGAGGAATATATGAGAACATTAAATATCTTTTCTCACCGTACATGCGTCAAAATCTACATCCTTTCCTAAAAGTCACTCACCTGCAGAGTGATATCCATGAATTTGTAGGACGTGTAGTTGACACCAATCTCTATGGATTCTACGACAGTTTCTTCTTCCGAGTCTTCGTCACAGGAGGCTCTCTTCAGCAGGGCTGCG